GCGCGGGGGGGGGGGGAGGGGGGGCGGGACTGCGCCCCGGATATGGAAAAGCCGGCAGCTGCAGCTACGTGGGTCCTGACGTCCAAAGCCCAGAGCGCCTTCGTTCTGCGGCTACTGTGCCTCCTTTCTTTTCTTGCCCAGACCCCTTGGGCACCCGCCCCCTTCTGATCAGTAGGTGGGTGCTGGTGCATGGCAGAGCTAGTGGGGAGCTCGGGCCTGCAAGCCTGGAGTCTCCCCAAAACTGCCCAGGTGGAGGTTCGGAATCTGTAGCCAGCTCACTGCACTGGGAGTGCGGAAAGGCCTAAGTCTTCCAGCAGCCTACCCCTGCTGAGACAGAGAGGCCCAGCGCCCGATCCATCTGTTCTGGAAGCGCTGGTCGCCCCTGGTGCCACCAGGCCTGGTGGGCTCGAAGCTCAGAAAACGGCCCGAGGTAGCGAGCTCTGCAGTGGTCGTTGTGCAGAACCTGCCAGGCCCCAGGACTTAGCCTGGGAGGCACCACTGTGGCCAGGGGATGGCCTTGGACCACGAGGCGGCTGGGTTCTCCCCTGGAGCTCGGACTCCCCAGGAGCGAGCCCTCAGTGCACCCGGCCCAGCGCGCGGCCCTGAGCGTTTGAGGCCGCCGCCTGGCTGCCCGGCCCAGGGCCGCGGGGTCGCGCCCAGCCCGCAGGGCTTTGTGCCGCTCCTGCCCGGGTGTGCGCGAGGCGCGGAGCATCCAAATTGACACCATATGTTTTCCTATTAGATGCTTCGCGGTCGAATTCTAGGCGCATAATCGTCGCTACTGGGCGAGCGCGCCAGCCGTCCCCAGGGACGGGACACAGTGATTGAGGCTTAACCTCGGAGGGGAAATTGAGAGCTGCGCTTCCTCGCTGCCATTTCGACGCTGGCAGGGCCGCCCTGGCTGCGGCGTCCCGGCGACCCCGGCCGGCCATCGACGTCGCTAAGTTTTGCAGGGGAGGAGGAGGAAGGTAGGGTTAGGTGGCCTCGCGCGCCTGGGCATTCGCAGCCCAGGAGGCGCCCTGACTGTGCTGAAGTTTGGAGGGTCTCTCTCGCCTTCTCCGGGCAGCCTTTCTCTCCCGCGGAAGGCTCCCAAGGCCCGGAGGGGGCTGGAGGCCGCTGCGGTGGACCGGCGGCGAGGAAACGGAAGGCAGCGAGGGGAATTTGGGAGAGACCGGAAGCGCGGGCTAGGCCTCCCTGCGCTGGAGAAGCGGCGTCCCCGCAATGTCCTCGCTTAGGCCGGGCCAGGCCGGAGCCCAGATCCCCCAAACGCCTGTCACTTCTCATCGAGTAGAGGCTCGGCCCCCCCGCACGAAGGCCCCCCCCTCAAGCCCCAGGCCTTTGGCTACCCAGAAAACGCGGCTCCCCTCCTAGGGGAACGAGTGCAGTTCCATCTCGTCTGAGTGATCTACAAATAGGGACCGAAAGGGTCGTTTTATCACGGCCCCGTTTGTCGTGACGATGCAATTTCCCGGAGCGGAGCACTGTCACAAAGTGACAAGGCTGCCACAAGCGCCCCGACTGATCTTTTCAATTAGCCTTCCATGCATGATCCGGAGCGACTTCCGCCTATTTCCAGAAATTAAGCTCAAACTTGACGTGCAGCTAGTTTTATTTTAAAGACAAATGTCAGAGAGGCTCATCATATTTTCCCCCCTCTTCTATATTTGGAGCTTATTTATTGCTAAGAAGCTCAGGCTCCGGGAGTCCATTTATCAGGAGCGCCAAGGAGGAGAGGCGAGGAGCGCAGCGCAGAGCCGACCGAGCCACGTCTCCTTCTCCGGGGAGGGCTGCTCTCTAGAGCCGGGGCTGCAGGTTGGAGATTTTTGAGGAAGTGGCAAGTGGCGCCTGGCTGGCCCCGCGGTGCCCGGGGAGGGGGCTGCGAAGAGGCTCTGACTCCGGCTCCTCTCCTCGCTCTTGGAGACTAGACCAGGGGATGAGGCCGTAGGGTGCGAAGATGAACGAGGGACGCGGACCCTGCCTGGTGGTCCTTTCTCTGGGCTCCCCGTTTGCGATTTCGCGAGCGCGGTCCTCGGCTGCGGGGAGGGCGGGGTCCGGCGGCGGAAGTGAAGCGCACGGTGGCGGTGGCGGTGGCGGGTGCGGGCCGCCCGCCCGGGCAGGCCCCTGTGCGGAGATCGTCTCCTTTCCCTTCTACCGACAAAACGGGACCTGGCGCGCTCCGCCTTCGCGCGGGTGCTGACGCCGGCAGCCGGGCGCCCCAGGGAGCGCTGGGGTGCAGGACTGTTGCCAGGCTCTTAGCTGCAGAGGCCTCCAGTGGGTTCCGGGAACCACGCTGGGGGGGACGCCCAGGGGGTCTTTGGGAGGCGATTTTCAGAGCGGGCCTTTCCCTTCTACCGACAAAACGGGACCTGGCGCGCTCCGCCTTCGCGCGGGTGCTGACGCCGGCAGCCGGGCGCCCCAGGGAGCGCTGGGGTGCAGGACTGTTGCCAGGCTCTTAGCTGCAGAGGCCTCCAGTGGGTTCCGGGAACCACGCTGGGGGGGACGCCCAGGGGGTCTTTGGGAGGCGATTTTCAGAGCGGGACGTTGGCACTTTGCGGGTTCAAGGCTAGCGAGAGCGTTGGCGAGGCGGGCGGCGTGGGGTGCGTGTGCTGTCGTCGGGGGGCACGCGGCGGAGTCTGGAGCTGCTGACGCCCAGCGGGCGGAGCGCACCGCGTCTGGGCGGCGTGCCTCGCGTGGCTGACGGTCCTGTTGTCGGTTTTTTGTTTTTGTTTTTGTTTGTTTTTTTGATCGATGGCAGGGACCTGACCGCTGAGGTCGGCACCGGTGGGCAGAAAGCTGAGGGTGCCTTGTGGTTTCTCCTGTTCTTCCTTCTCCGCCGCCTCCTCTGGCCTCTTCCTCTTCGCTCTCCTCCGCCCTGCTCTGCTCTGCTCTCCTCTCCGCTCCTCTCCTCTCCCTTCCTCAGGTCACAGCGGAGTGAATCAGCTCGGTGGTGTCTTTGTCAACGGGCGGCCACTGCCGGACTCCACCCGGCAGAAGATCGTAGAGCTAGCTCACAGCGGGGCCCGGCCGTGCGACATTTCCCGAATTCTGCAGGTGATCCTCCCGGCGCCCCCACTCAGCCCCAGGCCCTCCACTCTCAAGGCCCTCTCTTCATTTCTTGCTGTAAACGCTGCTAATTTTGAACCCCTCCGTCCTCACCCGCCCCAGTCCCGTCCAACAGACCCCACCCCACTCCCTGGTCTTCCCGCTTTCCCTCTCCCTCCTCCATCCTCCCCTGTCTCTTTCAACCTGGGTCGGTTATGTAAGATACTTCATCTGCTTAAGAAAAAAAAAAATGTGTGTGAATTAAAAACAAACAAACCCCTGTTTTTTCACTGAGTGAAGAAGACGTTCTTCCTGGTGACAATTTATCCACTGTAATGAACTGGGTTATTTAAACTGGCATAATTTCATCCCTTCGCCCCCATCCCAAGTTTAACTCAGAATTGGAGATATTTGTTTGCATTCTTCAAATTTTGAACCCCTCCGTCCTCACCCGCCCCAGTCCCGTCCAACAGACCCCACCCCACTCCCTGGTCTTCCCGCTTTCCCTCTCCCTCCTCCATCCTCCCCTGTCTCTTTCAACCTGGGTCGGTTATGTAAGATACTTCATCTGCTTAAGAAAAAAAAAATGTGTGTGAATTAAAAACAAACAAACCCCTGTTTTTTCACTGGGTGAAGAAGACGTTCTTCCTGGTGACAATTTATCCACTGTAATGAACTGGGTTATTTAAACTGGCATAATTTCATCCCTTCGCCCCCATCCCAAGTTTAACTCAGAATTGGAGATATTTGTTTGCATTCTTCACGTTTATGAAGACTCTGTATTGATTTTAAAAGGCAAATGGCATTTACCCCTCCGAAGTCACATTTGCTCAACAGGGCACTTTTTTTTTTTTAAAGGAAAATAAAGTAAAAGTTCAGTTAATTTTTCCCCCTTTGCTCTGTAAACCATTACACAGCTTTAAGCAAGGTCAACACAAAAAAATGAATCTGACTTCGTTTTGATGGATGTTCAGGCAGTGTTTATGAAAACAGTTTTTTTTTTTTAAAAAAAAAACTTTTAAATTCTTTTTTTTTTTAGTTTAAATTGTTTGAAAATATCATCATATTTGTAGTTGTCAGGGCTACAAATGTACTTTAAGAAAAAAGCTCTACAGTAAGTTCTCGTACCATTGAAGGTATATTTTTGTGTTATAGACCCATGCAGATGCAAAAGTCCAAGTGCTGGACAATCAAAACGTAAGCTTGTCATTGTTTAATGCATACTTAAACAATTTTATTTTTGTCTTGAAATTATTAATAATGTGGTTTTCTGTCCACTTCCCCTATGCAGGTGTCCAACGGATGTGTGAGTAAAATTCTGGGCAGGTATTACGAGACTGGCTCCATCAGACCCAGGGCAATCGGTGGTAGTAAACCGAGAGTAGCCACTCCAGAAGTTGTAAGCAAAATAGCCCAGTATAAGCGGGAGTGCCCGTCCATCTTTGCTTGGGAAATCCGAGACAGATTACTGTCCGAGGGGGTCTGTACCAACGATAACATACCAAGTGTAAGTTCACAGAGACCCTCCCCTCCCTGCCCGCCCTGAGCGCCAGCCTCTCTTCCTCCTCTTGCTTTACCACCCCCTGCTCACCCTCTTCCCAGTGTCCCGTCTCTGTCTCCTTCCTACTTCTCCTGTGTCTCCTCTGTGCCTGGGGGTATTGAGAGGAGGGCCCTGGCCTTTTTTGGACCATCTGGAAGATGGGAGTCAAGTGTGGGGAGCTGTTCACCTCCTTTCCATTGCTGCAAACTAGATTGGGGTCACTGGAGAGAGGCACTTGACTTAGAAGGAAAATGGAAATGAAAACCAGATTCTAACTTCCTACAAATCCACTTGCCTGAGCCTCCCTTCAGGCTCAAGAATCTATGTATCTCTGTCTGCCCCAGTGTAAGACAAATGAAATGAAAGCCCGGAGACCAAGTCTTAAGGAAGTAGAGCAACCATGTGCATTAGGTCACCAGAGACATGGAGCAAAGGCACAGGGCCCCTGCCCTCAGTTCTCTACCCAGCTCAATTCCATGCCCCAAGTGATGACTCTCATTCTTCCGTGGTGTAGCTGCAAATCCACCCACTATGCTGGGGGGCTGGTTGCTTTTTACTGCACTGAGGGCTGTTCTTCCGGCAGTGGGCGACCTGAGATGGGGACTTAAGATGGGGTGGCTGGGTCTACAGGAGACACTACCATTTGGTCTGATTATGGTTTGATTTGCAGGTGTCATCAATAAACAGAGTTCTTCGCAACCTGGCTAGCGAAAAGCAACAGATGGGCGCAGACGGCATGTATGATAAACTAAGGATGTTGAACGGGCAGACCGGAAGCTGGGGCACCCGCCCTGGTTGGTATCCGGGGACGTCTGTGCCAGGACAACCTACGCAAGGTAAAAGCCATTCTTCCAACCCTCCCTACACAGCCCTCACCCACCTTCATGTCCCCACGACTTTTCCTCCTTAGGGTGTCTGTGCTTGGGGACTGTCCTGGGGGAGAATGCACTCACAATGGCATCTGTGGCATGTCTGTGTAGCCTGGGTGCGTGAGGGCTGTGGATGTAGAGAGTGCTGTGGACGTGGCTGGTGCCTGTGTGTCTGTCTGCGGGCCAGAGGAGTGCCCTATTCAGATTTGCCATTAAAATGCAGAGAGCCCCCTTGCTGTAGAAGTGTGACAAGTTAACACACTGACAGACTGCGAGGTAAACATCATGGTATCGTTTTGCTTTTTACTGTAATTGACGTATTACGTGACTGCCAGTAGGTGCGTGTGAGGGTGTGCAGCGTGCAGGACCAGTTGAGGATGGGCTTGGACGTGCAGGTCTCTCAAGGAGACCCCAGGACCCTTGCTCCTCCCTCCCTCACCCCTGGAGTTCTAGTTCTTGCTCTCTGTGGGTGGTGACTGCCTGGAAGTGGTGGGCTGAGGATACCAGGAACCTGGAGTACCCCAGGATGTGCGAGAAGGGATGGAGGTGGAGGGGCTGGCGGGGTGCGGACCTACTCCCTACGCGTACACCGAGGTAGCTTGATCACAAATAGGAAACAGTTTCCCCGAAGATTAATCGGTACTTGTTGTCCTCCTGACAAGGAGATAATATGTGGGATAATGGGTCTGGCGTCTCACTCCCCGAGCACAGCAGCGGAGCCTGGGGGCTGTAGGGCAGCGACCGGGCATCGGCGCGCTCTCGGACCGGCTCCGGGTGCCTGGCGCCTTAGCGGAGCTGGCCTAGGGAAGGGAAATCGGTAACAGTATGCGAAATATCTGGTACAAAGGATGCTTCTGTCACTCGCAAGAATTTGTTATGGGAACAATCCTGTCGCTCTGTAATTGCTCATTAGAGAACGTTTTGTTTCTCATTAAGGCGGCATGAATAAGCGTCTAGTTGAAGGAGACAGCTGTAGAAATGTTCCACAAGAGACCTCTGGACACGATTCGGCACCAATTGCCAATTAGACATGTCAGTTTTAAGAGCAGGAAACAATATAGGACGGACACTGGGAAGATCGGGAGCAAAGCGCTCGCTTCTCCTTCTCATTTCCCAGCGGCTGCCCTCGCCCTCGAGAAGGCCTCCTGACGCAGGGCCGGGCTTCCCCGGGTGAGCCGCCTGCGTGGCCTGAACCGCCTGAACCATGGCCTCTGTGAGCGCAGCAGCGCCTGAAGCTAGCAAGTGCCCTCTTGGAGGCAGCCAAGGGCACTGCCTGACCTCTGCACCCGCAGGGTCCCAACTGCACACTGGACACACCTGGGCGACTCTGGATTCGGATATCAGCTGTCCAGGGCCCACCCCTGCACCCCTAGCGATTCCATTTGAAGCCTTAGTTAGTGACTCCTCCCCACTACCAGGTGTGGGCCAACTTGGGCCAAGAAGACTTGAGGAGAGTGCTGGGCCGAGGACTGAGCCCGGGAGTCTGTGCAGGGCTCCCATGTGCTTGGGGCGCTAAGGACAGATACCCCCACCCACTGGGATTCCCCAGCAGGACAGACTCCGAGGGCTGCAGCTCTGGGGCAACCTTCATCCCTGGGAGGGCAAGGCGGGAAAGGTAGGCCCCACAGCCAGGGCCTGGAGGCCAAGGTCGGGCCAGGGGTGGTGCTAGTTCTGGAGCTTTTAATGTGTGTGGGCCTACTGGCTGGAGAGTTCCGGGTCATCAGCTGCCAACCTCGCAGGTTCCTTCCCCAAGTGCCCACCTCCACCCCTGCGGAGTGTGGAGGACCCAGTGCCAACTCCGTGTGGGGCTGTGCCAGTGAGGACTGGGCTGACGTGCTGGGGACTCCTCAGGCCTGTCGGAGCTAGGAGGGTCCCCCTTCCCCGCTGGCACCCTTTCCCGCCTAGAAGCTGGTCTTGGTTTTTAAAGAGTCCATTACTCCGAAAGCATAAGGCGAGGTTAGGTCTCAGAGGGAGACAAATATGGTTTCCATCTGATCCATGCCATGCGGCTGTGAATGCAATCGTGGCAAGGCGGCTGACAACAAGAGACAGCTCTATGCAGCCCGATTCTCCAGCGATTTGGTGGTTTTAGGGATCAGGAGGCACTTTCTTATCTCCCCCCTCCCCTGTAATACCCGGCCTCGGCCTCGGTAGGATTTAGCCAGTCTCCCTTTCAGCAGATGCTACAATGTTTTGATCCGCGCTCCAGAGCTGAAAAGGTGCCGCAACCGGGTTGCTATCTTTTCTTGCTTGTTTTCCGCCTCACTGATTAAGACACTAAGAAACCAAGGAATGATTTTATTTCCCAGCGTCTTCCCCACCCCCCTTCGCCTTCTTCCAGGAAACAAATCCCGTCCCAGCGTCAGATGGGCCTGGGGCTGGGATAATGGGCGGCGCTTTCACTGGCTTCTCCAGGATTAGGCTGTGAGGTGGACGCCCCATTGAAGCCCCTTCTCTGCGCTCCGAGGGGGCCCTTTTAAAGAAGATATCTCCATTGCCCACCACTTAGGTCTAGCGTGGGGAATGCCAGCCGGCTTCTAGTTTTATTCTGTTAAAAGCTGTGAGAGTGGAAGGTAACCCCCCATCTGTGAGACGCTTGTCCCGCCTGTTTGCTGACAGCTGCGACTTCCCAAGTTGCACAGGAACTTGCGAGTCAGTGGGCGCAGGGTACCTGAGGGCCTTTAAAGTCCACTCCTGTCTTTCTTTTGAAAGATTTAAAGGTCGAGTTCCTCCCTGGTGACTTTCCTCCCTCTAAAGGGCCGGTCTTCTGCCAGCACGGACCCTGGCTTGCCTTGGCGTGTGCGTGTGTGCGTGTGTGAGACACAGAACGACTGTATGTCCAGGCTTTAAAATTAGGGTGTCAGAGGAGCAAGTGAGACCAGACTGAGACCGGAGACCCGCAGGCTTCCCCAGGGGGCAGCAGCTTTGTTTCACTGGCAAGACCGTGCCAGGAAAGGGACTGGGGCGGGGACCTATGGGGAGCAGGACAGCATGCGCTCCTCAGTGTCCCCTTCCGCAAAGGCGGGGTGCGTGTGTGTGTGCGCATGCATGTGCATGTATATGTGCTCATGTGTGCGCATGCATGTGCTCGTATATATGTGCGTGCGCTTATATGTGCGTGTGCATGTGTGCGCACGTATCTGTGTATATGTGCGTGCATGTGTGTGTGCGTGTGTGGGTTTGTTTGTGTTCTCTGCACGCGGTGAGCAGCGGGCCTTTCCAGTTGGCCACAGAGTGTTGTTCCCAGTCCTCCTCATTCATGGAACCCAAAAATAAGCGGGAAGGCTTTTCATTTCCTTCCTCGAAAAGCACTTTGAAGAGACGCCCAGAAAGTTGTGCCCACACTCACGCGAGTCAGGCACTTGTGCCCTCGGCTCGCTCGGGCCTGCACAGGCAGCGCCAGGCGACCCCAGGCCCCAGCACAGCCCCGAGGTTGCTAGGTCTCTCGCCAGCTCACTTCTCCTTCAGGCCCCCCTGGTCCCAGCGGTCTGTCCCATCCTGTCCTGTCCTTCCTTCTCACACCTATGGGCCTGGCCCTTCCAGCCCTCCCTAGCCCAAACCCTGCCGGCCCTCACCGCCAGCCCAGGCCCCACTCCCCTTCCTTCTACCACTCCAGACCGGCCTCCTCCGCCCCCACAGGCACACCCGGGCCCCACCCTCCCTGCCCACCCCTGCCCTGGCCGCCACCCCTTGGTCCCCCCAGCCCAGCGCCCTAAATAGCGCAGGCGCCCGCTCTGGGGACAGTGATTAATGAGCGCGGAGCCGCGGGGTTAACACCCTTCCCTGAAAGTCTGTTGACTGGGCTGCTTGTAGCACAATGTGGCCGCCGCACGCCTCAAGAGAATCCTTTTGTTGTCCGCGCTCATTGTGGCCTCAAAATTCTGCCCAGGAAAGTTTGCCAACGCTCCTGCCCCAGGAGTTTAATAGTTTCCCTTACCCGGGGCTTTGTGCGGCTGAAAGGCCGGCAGGCTATTCAGGGCTGGTGGTCAGCTCAATAGATCGCCCAGGGCCCATATGGTGGCCAGTGCCGGCCGGGCCGCCTGCTTAAATGGGGGGAAAGTTGGGGTTTTAAAACATTTCAAAGTTCCTGAAAAGACCCCACTAGATCCTGTCACAATTCCCTTGCCGCTTTGAAGGCGCTGGCTATTGTGTCCTGGTTATAAATGATATTCCTGGCCCCGCCGTTCCCACCAGGGCGCTCCAGCCCCTCCCCCACAGCCGGCCACGTTCCTGGGGTGGGGAGGGGGCAGCCCCGGGGGTGTCCCTTGGGCGCTTCGGGACCCAGGACCTGGACGGGACCCAGCCTTCTGCCAGGTCCTTCCCTCCGACAAGACAGGCGAGTTGAGGGGAGAGAACCAGCCTGGGAGCTCCTTTGGCCTCCACCGGCCGGCAAACAATACAACTTTCCCCTGTTTAATGATAGAAATTACATTAAAAGTGGTGGAAATGCCCTAATTAAAAATGTACCACTTAAATGATATGCCAAGGACTCAGCTGCAGCATAGCACTCTAGCTAGTTAGTGAACCTGCTACTGTTTCTCTTTTAAAATTACACGTTAAAAATTTAAAAGAAATCTTACTTTTCTCTGGTGCAACACATTACAAAGAATGGACAGTCCTTTTATCTAAATATAAAATTCCATTTTCAGCAATTATAGCCTGTTCTTGGTGATGATATAATTACAGCCGTGCTCGTAATAGGTGTCAAGGCGAAGCGCACTCATACAATAGTTGAATAAAACTGCAGAACAATGCGAGCACTTCTAAATTCACAACCTTTAAAATGAAATTGACTGTGCAGAATTCAAATCAAAACTAGATAAATATTTTTTTAAAAAGATTACAAGCTTGGTTTGGTTTCTTAATAGCATTTTCTACAAACCTATCAACATCTAATTGATTAGATAGGAATCACTGATTATAGATCAGCTGAAATCTCGAACATCACTCTTCTATTTTCCCAACACAGCCATAGGTAAATACATTCCGGAGGGAAAGGGAACGGGGCGAGGTCCCAGGGCGGCAGGGTGGCTTATGAGAGATCCTTTCTGCTAGAGACTTCAGCGTTTGCTTTGTCATTCAACAAAATGCCACTTTGCATGTACCCTAAAGTCTCTGGATAGAAACAAAGAAAATGGTGGGCAGGTCATGGCTGGAGTCTTTCACTGAGAGGAGGCTGGCAGGTACGTGGGAGTGTGTGGTGAGGCTGTCAGAAGATTGTGCTCTTGGGGTTTGGTGTCGTACCAGGCCCCTTTCGAAGGCTCCAGTCCCCTGAATTTCTCCCACTGTCCTATTCTCTGGCTTCCAGATGGCTGCCAGCAGCAGGAAGGAGGGGGGGAGAACACCAACTCCATCAGCTCCAACGGGGAAGATTCCGACGAGGCTCAGATGCGACTTCAGCTGAAGCGGAAGCTGCAGAGAAATAGAACATCCTTTACCCAAGAGCAGATTGAAGCCCTGGAGAAAGGTGATGGAGTTTTTCAAAGTAGAGAAGCATAAATCAAAGCAAATGCCACATCTTCAGCAAAGGAGCTAAATTTAGCCAGGGCCCTTTGCATGGAAGGCTGAAAAGGTTTCTTTTTTCTTCTTCTTCTTCTTCTTTTTTTTTTTTCCTCTGGGCATCTTTTCAGTGTGTGTGTGTGTTTTCTTTCTTTTCATGTACCAGTATTCAAAGACGAAAAGTCTGACTTATAAAGGAAAAACGATGATTTGGCTATTTCAGGCCACAGAAGCGTCGTTGAATGTCATTCTAAAGAAAGCCCAACCTGGGTCTGGTGGGGAGGCGCTACCAAGTACAGTCAGTACTCGCTGCTGAAGCGTTTTCAAGGGACATGGTTGGGGGTGGCGGAAGTGTGGGGAGGCCGACTCCAGGCCTGGGTCAACACATTTTGTGTAATTCCAACACAACATAGAAAATCAACTTACTCTTTCAGAGTTTGAGAGAACCCATTATCCAGATGTGTTCGCTCGAGAAAGATTAGCAGCCAAAATAGATCTACCTGAAGCAAGAATACAGGTACCCGGGAAGCGGGTCATTGCATTTTGCGACTCACGCCATTTGCCTTCTCTAGAGATGAGGTGCCTGAGAGGAGAACCCTTTACGCTCATAAATCGCCACAGGCTCCTTCTGCCTAGTACTCAGCCCTCCTGGGGGCTGGGGGCCGGGCGGGGCGGGGTGTGGGGTGGGCTGGGCTGGAGGGAGGT